AAAGATATTGCAATATATTTAAAGATATTAAATAATTAAACAGAAAAATACTTTAATTAATATTGTTTAATTTACAGACATCGTCATGGAGCTTCCCCATGTGCATCTCGAACCTGCATCTCGAGAGCTACTGTTGTTATAGGGCAACCATAGGTTTTCACACGTCTAGGATGGGCAGTGTCTGTCCTAGACATTCCACCCCAGACGTATAAACGATATGTGAGAGTTCATTAGGGACCACCCACTGCATCCCTGTATAGTTAGACGCCTTCAGGGTATAGGTTTTTACAGAATCATAGAGATCGGTCGGTTGCAGTTCGACTGGGCGTTGATCATGGCTATGATAGAGCGGTGGCGACCAGAGACGCACACGTTTCATCTACCCATCGGCGAGGCTACCATCACGCTTGTGGAGATGGAGGTTCTTTTCGAGCTGCCTGTTGATGGTATACCTATAGCTTACATGCATGCTCTTTGAGACTATACGGGAGAGGATTACCTTCATATGTTGCAGCGGCTCACCAGTTTCCAGCCTGCGGAGCCGACTGCATTGAGTAGGGCTAATCGATTGCAGCTTACGCCCATTCGGCAGCATCTGGTGGTGATGGACGCGGAGATTACTGATGATTCACCGCCAGAAGATATCGACCGGCACACGAGGCTGTTGCTGCTGATGATGTTTGGTGGTATATTATTTCCGAACACTTCGGGAAACCTAGTCAGCTTGCGATTTCTACATCATCTAGAGCGGCTAGATGATTTATCTGGCTATAGTTGGGGTGCAACTGTTCTAGCTTACCTGTATAGGCAGATGTGTCGGGCGTGCATGGGCAGCCAGAGAGACGTTGCCGGTTTTTTACCGCTGCTGCAGGTGAAAACACAATCAATTATTTTCATGATTATAACATACATAGTAAAAAATGCCTTAAATTTTACGTCCACAATCTATATTAGGTTTGGACCTGGGAGCGGTTCCTGCAGTTCCAGCCACCTCTGCCACCAATAGCTCCGGATGCAACACCTCCACCATTTCTCCCGCTAGCTTGGAGGCTGGTTGATAGGCGAGGCCACACCCGCAAGGTCGAGGCTTGACATTATCTCCCTTATTATAGGGATTTGTTGGATTTACTAGAAGGCCCTCAGGTACATATATACTTAAGTTTACTTAGCCTTGCTTAATATGTGTTGCGTTTACCCACGATTCTTGTGTTTAATAAATTGTTCGTATGGAGGCCATATTTGATAATTAACTACTAATACATTAAATCCATAATTGAGTACTCTATCTGAGTTTGTTAAGGAGAGCATGTACTTTTTATTCTACACAATGGAATCATAAAGAGCACTAAAGTAAAACTACTCTAAATGGCCATAAACAAAGTCAACTACCATAAGCTAAAATTTATTATCAGTTTAACTACGCTAAAGGGCACTACATAACAATTAAGGGCACAACATAACACTAAAGGGGACTAAACAACAATAAAATCACGTATTAATATACGTAAAACAATAAAATCACATATAACAATAATTATTCATATATTAACAATATATATTTTTACTAATTGTTTAGCACATAAATAAACTAATCCGGATAAAAAAAATAAAAAAAATAAATTAAATCCCAAAACGATCACAACAAAAACATACAACACAGTAAATAACAACTAATGAGGATTTTATATACATGAGTTTTACCAAAAAGTAAGTCGGAATATCTCGATTTAAAATTTTTTGAAATGTGAAAATTTGATGATTTGGAAGCCGAAACGAGCAATAGACGAGATCCACTACACGACAACGCCTTGGATCCAGTGTTAGCTTGCTAAAATAC